CAAAGTATTCCAATCCTTCAACATGGGATTCGTTACCCATCCCGCGACGTGATTTCCACAGCCTTGCCCCTGGCTGTATTTCAATTGGCTGGTCACATTCTGAGCTCCATGGCCACTGCACAAATCCCCGTGTCTCTGGTCCACACAATCAAGGGCCTTTCGCCTCTTTTCACAGTTCTAGCATACCGGTTCCTCTTTCGCATTCGATATGCGCGGGCAACCTATTTATCGCTGATTCCTCTGACTCTAGGCGTCATGCTTGCATGCTCAACCGGAGTGTCGACAAATTTCTTCGGTATATTTTGCGCATTTGGTGCAGCTATTGTGTTTGTCTCGCAGAACATATTCTCGAAGAAGCTGTTCAACGAGGTAGACCGCGCAGAAGCAGATATCCAAAACCCAGGACGGCGAAAGTTGGACAAACTCAACTTGCTTTGCTATTGCTCCGGGTTGGCTTTTTTCCTCACTCTGCCTCTTTGGTTTGTCACTGAGGGTTACCCGCTAGTATCTGATTTCGTCCATGATGGTGCGATCTCGCTATCGGGGAAGCAAGGCTCATTGGACCATGGTGCTCTTTCCATCGAGTTTTTGTTTAACGGAGTCTCACACTTTGCCCAGAACATCCTGGCCTTTGTGTTGCTGTCAATGGTTTCTCCTGTGTCTTATTCGGTTGCATCATTAGTCAAGCGTGTATTTGTGATCGTGGTGGCGATTATATGGTTTGGGAGCTCGACTACCTCGGTTCAAGCGTTTGGCATTGGCCTTACTTTCGTGGGGCTTTACCTTTACGATCGCAATAGCCATGACGACGTAGCCGACCAAAGGGCAAACACGGATCATTTCCGTCCGGAACACTCCATTCTTCCAATGAACGTGCGACATTCAAGCAAGCCATGGGATTCTAATGGTTATGCCTTCCCCGCGGGTAGGGCCTTTGAAGGTGCCACTAACATCCCCCATGCAGCAGCAAACAACTCCAAGAAGGAGGATGATGGGCCTGGGCATATTCGACCCAGGGGGCCAGTGTTTCTCGCACTTGGTTACCAGGGACCAAACAAGAATCCACCTGGCAGGTTAGTGATTCTCAAGCTGTGGCCTAGCATTTGTATTTTATTAGCTCGGTGTACAATATCATGACAGCGCAGTTTGCCTAAAGAACCTTTACATTACTACTCTTTCCCTGCTGTGTTCATGCTGTCTAGGACGTACAGTACTCTTCCGAGCGACCATTGCTATATATTTTGGCTGCGCATGGGATGCAGAGTTCAGATTGCTACATGAAAGCTCAATAAATCTGATATTGGGATTGGCAACCACGGAATTTATGGCATAAATACGATCACATTGCAAGTGGACAAGATTATCTATCAGGAGAATGATGTAGCTACCGTCGGTAAGGAACAAAGTCATAATTAGGCGAACCCTTGACAGCTCCAGCTACGGCGCAAATCTGCTCTTGGGACATGCTGTAGAGGAAATAGGAACAGGAAAATTGCCTGCCTCCTACAATAAATGATGCCCGTAACAATTTAATTGAAGAAGAGAAAAGGAGAAAATCGGGGGAGAAACGGTGGGTTATGAGGAATGCCGGAAAGGAAGTTTATCCGCCTAACCGAGTCAATCGAGCCAATCCCCGTGAGCCTATTTGCCGTTGCCTTTAGTCAGCAAAGTGATGGTCAGCACTCGCATTATGTAACATTGGAACCGCAGATTCCGATGCAAAGTGCTCTCTGAACTCCCAACCGTCACCAGGACCTCACCCCCTCGCCCTTCTCCACCTTATCCCCCACCCTCATATCTCTGTTCTCCTTTTAATGATGCGGCCGCAGCTGTTTCGTGCGGCCGCCCGGTCCCTCCGGGTTCCTAAGGTCACACCCCGGGCCTTCGCGACTACAGCCCCTCGCGCGGCCGAGGTGGAACTCACCATTGGTAAGTCTAATCTTGGTCTAATCCATCCAATTTGATCGATGACTGATGGCTCGTTTCTATAGATGGCAAAAAGGTGTCTGTAGAAGGTAGATACTCCCTAGAGAGAACTCATTGTACCCTCACTCACATTCTCTCCCCAAAGCTGGCTCGGCTCTTATCCAGGCCTGCGAGAAGGCAGGCGCAACGGTTCCCAGGTATGGCAAAACTTCATCAATCCAATTTGCTTGCAGTATTAACATGCACTAGATATTGTTACCACGAGTATGTGCCTTTGGTCGAATCATACATTTTGTTCTTGCTAACACCAGTCCCTTAAGAAAACTCTTGGTTGCAGGCAACTGTACGCTTAACTCATAACGATCCCCCTTTCTACGGCATTGAGATACATGTACTTACTGAGACTATAGGTCGTATGTGTCTCGTCGAAGTCGAACGTGCCCCGAAACCTGTGGCATCCTGTGCTTGGCCAGTACAACCTGGTATGGTGGTAAAGACGAATTCACCACTGGTCCACAAGGCAAGAGAGGGTGTTATGGAGTTCCTCCTCGCCAATCATCCCCTCGATTGTCCTGTTTGCGACCAAGGAGGAGAGTGTGATCTCCAAGACCAGTCGATGCGTTACGGTGCCGATCGGGGTCGATTCCATGAAACTGGTGGAAAGCGTGCCGTGGAGGATAAGAACATTGGCCCACTGGTCAAGACCTCGATGAATCGATGCATTCATTGCACTCGCTGTGTCCGATTCATGAACGACGTCGCTGGTGCTCCAGAATTGGGAACTGCAGGCCGCGGAAACGACATGCAGATCGGAACCTACCTTGAGCAGAACCTGAACTCAGAACTTTCAGGCAATGTCATTGACCTTTGTCCTGTCGGTGCACTAACTTCGAAGCCCTATGCTTTCCGGGCACGTCCCTGGGAGCTCAAGCACACCGAATCGATCGACGTCCTTGATGCGCTTGGCTCCAACATTCGTATTGATAGCAGAGGCTTGGAAGTTATGAGAGTTGTCCCGCGGTTGAATGACGATATTAACGAGGAATGGATCAACGACAAGTCGCGGTTTGCATGCGACGGGTTGAAGACCCAGCGGCTCACAACACCGCTCATTCGTCGGGATGGCAAATTTGTCCCCGCTACTTGGGAACAGGCTCTGACGGAGATATCATCGGCGCACCAGAAGCTTCAGCCACAGGCCAATGAGTTCAAGGCCGTTGCTGGACACTTGGTTGATATTGAGTCACTTGTCGCCATGAAGGACCTGGCAAACAAGCTTGGCTCTGACAACCTTGCTTTGGATCAGCCTGGCGGCGGTGCCCCCATTGCTCACGGTATCGACGTCCGTTCCAACTATCTGTTCAACTCCAAGATCTATGGAATTGAGGAGGCAGACGCAATCCTTCTAGTTGCAACCAACCCTCGTCACGAAGCCGCAGTTCTAAACGCCCGTATCCGCAAGCAGTATATTAGGTCTGATCTTGAGGTTGGACTTGTCGGCGAGGAGTTTGAGAGCACATTTGACTTGAACCATTTGGGCACTGATGTCTCTTCCTTGAAGTCCGCCTTGTCCGGAGAATTTGGCAAGAAGCTTGCCGGAGCCAAACGGCCAATGATTATTGTCGGTAGCGCTGCTGCTGAGCACCCTGACGCCAAGGCTATCTTCGAGGCTGTCGGTGGCTTCGTTGAAAAGAATGCAAGCAACTTCATCACTCCTGAGTGGCAGGGCTATAATGTCCTCCAGCGTGCGGCGTCTCGGGCTGGTGCCTATGAAGTTGGCTTCACTACACCATCTTCCCAGGTTGCTCAGACTACGCCCAAGATGATGTGGCTGCTGGGCGCAGATGAGATTGCCCAAAGCGAGATTCCCAAAGACGCATTTGTCGTCTACCAGGGACACCATGGTGATCGCGGTGCTCAACTTGCTGATGTCGTTCTCCCCGGCGCTGCCTACACTGAGAAGTCAGGTACATACATCAACACAGAAGGTCGTGTGCAGATTACCCGTGCTGCCACTTCTCTCCCCGGTGCAGCTCGTGATGACTGGAAGATCATCCGTGCCACTAGCGAGTTCCTTGGTGCTCCTCTTCCTTATGATGATATTGAGGCTCTCCGCGACCGCATGGAGGAGATTAGTCCTGTCATGCGTCGCTACGACGTTGTTGAGCCGTCATCGGTTGCCTCGTTGAGCAAGGTCCAACTTGTGGACCAGAACAGGGGATCTCCTGCTACTGGAGCTCCTTTCAAGAAGGTGATCGAAGACTTCTTCTTCACTGACGCTATCTCCAGAAGGTGAGCAGTACCCTATTTTCTCATCCATTAATCGATATGCATGCTAACTCTACTTCAGTTCGCCCACCATGGCCCGCGCCTCCGCTGCCAAGGCCACTGGAAACCCTGAGACCAACTTCATGGCTGCAGGAGAAATGTCTCCTCAGGCTTTATATGGCTAGATCGGGTCTATCTTGACCTCATTCTGTGTTTGTCTAATGGTTGCAGGCGTTTTAATTGTACCGCATCTTAAATTTCCCTCTTGATGTACTGTTTCCTTTCCATCCTCTGTGTTTTTCCCTATCATCTTGAACACCCTTCCGGTTCCTGTTGACCTCTTCGCCATCCTCCGGTGTCGCCTGGGATTAATCGGTAGTGGTTGCCTTGTACATAAAAGACTGAACCCCCAAAATTTTGAGTCCATGGGCGTCGGAGATGATAAAATCCTACTTGTGTAATTTGGTGTGTAGTAGCTTTTGGAAGGCAAAGTACCATTGAGGAATCCTATGGTAGAAACGAAGTGAAATTATACCGGGACAAATGACTCGGGGGAGGAAAAAGGATCATCCCAACGACAGAAAAACTGGACAGAGAGGAATAACGAAAGACAAGAGCAGAGATATTTCTCTATGGGTATATTGCATTATCAAGGAGTAAGCATCGGTTGGGCATACACATATCCCCAAGCCTAGGGGGTTAAGAGAGACTTGTAACTTTGAGTTGGGTGTTTTACATATAAAATGGAGCCCGTATCTCGCTCTGTTGAACTATGTAATTTGTCTGACTCGATTCAGGTGGCCAATTTAGAGCTCGTCATCATCCGTCTCTCCCGCACTTTCTTCGGCATCTTCGCTAGGCTGAGTTGGAGCAGGTCTCTTGATGGGCCCGCCGGTCCTTTTGGCAAATGGCAAGGCTCTTTGAGGCGGTGCGGTGTCTCTCGCTGGGGAGGCCCGCTTTAGCTGGGCAGGCTCGTCCTGTGACGAGTCGTTGTCCGTCGTGCTATTGCTTTGTTCATCGTCCAGAGGGTGAGAGATTGAACGTTCTTCTTCATTGGTGTCTTGGTTATCAGAAGCACCTCGATCAGTCTTCATTGAATCAATATCCATTTGTTCAAACTCATCAGAGTCGTCTGTTTCGCTCATCTTCCGAGCACTTCTTTTTGTTGAATGAAATTTCCCGGCGGTTTCAGAGGACTCTTCGGGGATGCTAGCTTGTATCTCCGAGACTGTTCGATAGTTAGTGAGCCAAGATATCTAAGTTTCTCTGTTTGTGCCACCGACCTTTGGTGGCATCTACAGTGGCTGATGCCAGAAGACGTTGCTGGTTGCGGATTTTGAGCTTTTTCTCGTTCAAGACTTGCACAAAATTTCCAACCAGTCGATTCTCATGGTCGGTTTTCGCGGTCATCAGTTCCTCGAGCTGTTCATTCAACCTATGTATGGTGTCTTCGGCAAGGCGATAACGACCAGTCAGGCTGGATACTTGCTTCTCTAGCATATGATTTCGAGCTGCGGCCATTCCTGTCCATTCGAAAAGCTCGACGGCTTGTTCGTCGTCTTGCTTGAGGATAAAGGTACCTAGGCGTTGCTACATCAGTGTTAGCAATGATATATATATATATATAAGTATATATATATATTGAACTGCCGACGTGGAACACGAACTGTAATCGATTGAACTCTCTTACGTATCGTAATCACAATCTCCTTGTTGTCTTCGTCAGAACCCAATATACTGGCCGAAGCTTCCAGACCAGTGGCCCAATCCGGCTCATTCGAAGGGGTAGAACATTGCCCCAGAATGAGCGAGACAGTTTTAACCCATTCGTCATCTGATCCTTGATAATTTTTGGCTTGAAAGTCCTTCAGGCGTGCTTGGTTCACTACGCGACATGAGCTCATGAGTCTATGACTACCAAACTTCATTGCGTGACGACCTACCTGAGCCAACATAAGGCGATTCCCCCTCAGTGGCCACCAGTCTCAGGTCCAGGGGCGCAGAACCAGTACACGAGACCCGGACAAGTACATAATTCCCAGTCTCGTCAGATCTGGGAAACCGCAAGATCCGGTCTGTTGAATCTGTTGAAAGGGGAGATGACATGTTTGGGGTGGGGAGGGGAAAGACGGCGATAAGGAGAAAGAAAAGAGTAGGCTCGGCTCACACTAACTGCCTGTATATTTAGTAGTAATAGTAACAAAAGTCATGTCCCAAGGCAACAGAACTCAAGTGGAACTCATTAGACTATATACAGAGGGTACTTGACAAGGGAGCAGATACCGGGTCCCCACATAGTAGAACAGTTAATGTGAGATGTACTCCGTACTTCATAAGTTCAATTTTGATGATCACCAACATTGAAATATTAGACAGTTAAATCTGAGACTGCAATTATCTTTAATGTTGTAGATTTAGATTATACTTGCTATATACCTGCACAGCCATTTAATAATAGTGCTATGTGACCTACAAACCGTAAATACTGGACAATGCACTGGTAATTACATGTAATCGCTTGGTATCAAATACATATTACACAGTTGAAGGTATGTAGTCTTCACTGAGTATTTAGGTAAACAGCTTACCTCGATATATTACCAGTACAGGGTGCTGTCACGTTCTTCCTCTTCCTCCACGAGGAATTTGAGATCCAGCCACAACCAACACATCTATTTTCCCCTATCTCCTCTCCGTTTGCGCAAATTTTCTCTAATTCCTTGAATTCCTCTGATCACCAGTGGAATTAAAAGTTCTTGGGATGTCCCCAATGCTTAGGTTGTTGTGAATGTTTATGGATGACGACCCGGCATTTATCAGGTCGCCTAGTGAACCCGCTTGGTCTCATTCGGCGAAATTGACTCTAGAGTGAGGCCGGCTTACATTGATCTGATCCCTCCAACAACCCGCTTTGCAAATTCCGAGCTTACTTGCCACGCTACGGTCGACAGTGAAACCGTGCTCCTCGCTCCTATCTTTGGTCCTTACCAACCGACACGGAATGACGCTCATGTCCGCGCCCCCTGAACCCTCACCAGTGTCGCAACGCACTGAGTCTGCTGCTTAATCACAAATTGCCTTCGAAATTATCCCATGAGCTCTGTGTTGACTGTACGCCTTCAATCAATTCGCTTCGCCGATCATGGAATCTTTGCCAATCCACCTACGACCTGGTACCGACGAGCCGATTGAATGCTGGGATGATGACGACGACTTGCAGTTCAGCGAAGATATTCACTTTCGCACCGCATCTAGCGCGGGGTCCCTAACAAACTCGTCGTTTCGGCCCTCTGGGCACCGAGATTCTATCTCCTCTCGTCGCTCTGCTCGCTCAGATATTGACTCTAATGCGGGTGACGAAGACTGGCAAGTTCCACTCTATGACAATGACGAATTTGCAAAAGAGGATGCTATTGCCTCGGCCAAGACTGCGGGCATTCCCATTCCCCCAGATATCCCCAAGTCAGCCCTTATTGGGGGTACGATCAAGCGATTGTCAACTCGAAAGACCAAGCAAACTTTTGTTGACGACTGGTCAGAAGATGTTGAGCTTCCGGGCCCCGAAACCCTATTGCAGCTCAAAACTCCTCAGGAAACATGGTTTCCCGACACGCTGCGACATTTGAGCTCCACTGCTACCAGTCCAGTGAAATCCACGGCCTCGCCATCTTGGGATGAGGAATTCTCGACGCGTTTTCAATCTACCTTGGGACCATTTGACACCTTCCAAGATGACAATGGTAGTCTGGAAGCTCGAGACATCCCGACCCTCAAAGCCCTTCGATCTCCGAAGAAATTGAACATTGGCGATGGTCTCAATATTGAACAGGAAGCAGACGACGACTTTAACCAGGATTTTGAACTTCCCGCCAATCATCAGCCTCTCGAATTATCTCATCGAAAAGCGAATTTCTACGTTTCTAGTCCTTCTTTGGAGGACTTCGATCTTGAGTGGTCTGAAGGAAGTATTGGTGTACGAGTTGGTGGTACCGTAAGAGATGGTCGTTCAGTTCCCAGTTCTTCTATCTCCATCGCCAGCCCCAGCGTTTCAAGTTGCCTCACGGCGGAAAGTGAAGACGATGGCCTTGAGGGGCTCATCATTCCCGAAGGCCCGCTTGATTTCAGTGCTTCTCTACAAAAGCGACAGACTGCGCAAGCTGAGAATGTTGAAGTGCAAGGAAGTCAGGCGGATCATTTACCTTCCGATTCCGACGACTTCTTTTCTGGTATTGATATCGACAATGAGAAGGCTTTCTCCTTTGGAAAGCCCGCTCTAAATCCTAACATAAAGTGCAAGACAGAACGGCCATCCAGCCCGACTCGTCGATCTGCAACAACACTCACATTCACCAGTGCGACAGGATCTCCACGAACTCGCATCCCACGCTTGTCCGGTCATGATCGAACCCATTCGACCCACCTTGAGACCGTGTCAGAAAGTGGTGCACCTCTTTCCAAATTTCGAACGTCACAATCGCGTTTGGGGCATTCATCTCAAGCGTCCACTTCAAGTCTTCCAGCCCCTAGCGCTAATCCGACATCGCCGACTCCCACACTCTCTAGTCGACGGCTTCTCGGGTCTCGCAATTCTCGAGACATCACCCAAACCGGTGAGGGCAACCCTTCAGCTAGGCGCCTCAAGACCAAGCGATCCCTGCCATCGATTCGTGGCTTAGGCTCTGCTAGTTCAATGACCACTTCCCAGCGACCACCGGTCGATCGCTCAGTTCGCCTTCCCTCTGGCAGACCTAAAACACCGGTGGATCCCTCCGCAACTGATGTGAGGTCGCTGGGTCGTAGGCCACAAGTGCCATTTATGCCGGCTGGTGTATCGGAATCTCAATCACACCATGCTAGTGTGAAGGGGTATCGCTCATCACGTCGCACAAATTCAGATAGCTCTGGTGGTCTTCTTAGTCCGCAGGGCACGGTTTCCCGACTCTCCCGACCAACTCGCAATGAGCCGTTCCGTGGTGGGTTCGGCGACACAAGCGCCGACTCTCTCGGTTCTACAAAGCGCACAATCACACGACCCGCTAAACGACGCAACTTTGGGGATGGGACCGAGTTGGAGTCCTTTGATGATCTTTCTACATCGGTGCTGGCAGAGAGCAAGTTCGTCAAAACCCCCACCGGTCGAGGTGCTCCAAGGTCCATCCGCGCCAAGCTCAGCCAGAGTCAGATTGATGCCCATGAATCTCCCTATCCATCTTCAACGTCCTTATCCACCTCCAAGTTACGCAGTCCAACCCCTAGATTTGCACGAGATACAAATGCCTCCAGAAATGCAAGGGAACAACGCATTGCGTCCATGGTCATGAATTCAAAAAACCGTGAATCGAATCCACTTTCGACCTTGAACTCAAACTGGAAAGCCCAACCTACCTCAAGGATGCCCCCGGCCTCTGCAACCGTCAGAAGTCGGAAAGGTAAATCAAATGTTAAATCAACGTCCAAGCCGCACTTGATCAAGCCCATGGGGTCTGGGGTGCAGGATGCCAAATGTAAGCAAGACCGATCTCGATCTCTACATGATTTGCAGCACGCTAACTGGGTACTTCTCTTTTTTTTGGTTTGTTTTCAGCTGTGAGAGGTATGCGTTATAACCCTATCAATTTTCGGTGGGAAGGCAACGAAAATCTGGTTCAGGAATTTGATGTCACTTCCAAATCCCCCAAACCTGCCCCAGCTCTTATCGCCAATGTTGGAGCACAGAATGTCCAGACTGTTGGTGGAATGGTGTTTGATCCACATCGCATGTGTTGGCTCAAGGCATCTGACGGTGCAGACGAGGATGTGTTTGCCGGTCTGGATGACTTGGATGAAACACTCACAGGTAGGGCGTTTGAGCAATACCCGGCCAGTGCGGGTGAATCCTCTGACGAAGGACCTATGACGGAGGAATTTGATGTCGGTCCAGAATTCATTCGACGACAGCGGGCTGAGGAAGATAAGTGGAGACGCAAGGTTGACAAATGGATGTTCGATCGAGGTGAATCTCAGCATTGGATCATCCGCGATTTGGCCGGGGATGAATGTATATGAACTTTACGACTTTGGCCATTTGGCTATGAATTAATGGTTTTAATATGTAACTATATATCTATCTCTCTGTTCCCCTTTCTCTGAACTTCGAAGTTCGGACTCGGGGAAAAAAAAAAGTGTCACAGATCTGTCCGAACTGACAGTCCGATATGTCTCACCTTCCACCAAACGTATGTCATCCTGTCATCCCGTCTTTTTCTTTTTCTCTTTTTGCTCTTTTCCTCTTTTTCCTTTCTCTTTCCATCGACACGGAAACTTGCATTTTGACTGCAAAAAACAAAAAACAAAAAAAACAGACACAGCATATCCAGTACAACATTGACAGGGATGGTCAAATCTCGAGGGCATTTCGTACTTCCCTTGACATCTTCTCCATCCATGTTCCTTACCAATTTATCACGGCTACTTGCATGGACAAATCTCCCTCTGCCGACTTTGTTTGAGCAAACCTGCAGAATTTCCTGGATCCCAAGAAATAATCGGGGAGATGATTTCACCCCTCCCCCTGCACGCCCTTTTCTTCCTCTCCGATAGGGTGCCTTGAATAACCTGTATCAACGTGGCTCTTGAGGCAAACTGGTGGCGTTGACGGAATCCGTATCATTTGCTTGGATCTGCTTTGACAGGCAATTTGACACTTCCCTTCTCTTTTCTTTTTTTTTTTCTTTTTTCTTCTATACCCTGCAAATGGTGACTGACGCTTCCCGTACCTGACAGAGGGTTCGACTCGCCTGGCTCTATCCTTTCTTTTTTCTCTGTGAAATATTTGCTGTTCGTCTTCCAGGGATACCCTCCGTTGTCTCTTCTGTCGCAACATGGTCTCGTGCACTTCATCTTGGGCATCAGTGTCCTGCACTGTTTGTCCATTGTCGTTTTAAATTGCTACCTTCCCCCCTTCGTTTCCAGATGGCCTTTTTCTTATGAATTAATCCTCTATATCCCACTTTCACCCTGTGTTCTTTTAGACACAATTTCTCTTTTTTCTCTCTTTTTTTTTTTTTTTTGTGATACTGTGTACCAGGGTACTGTGGCAATTCGACTATATGCAAACGAATGAGCCCTGGTCTCCTCGATTTCCTCGTTGTTTTACTATTGTCATTGCCTTCGGAGACTGTATACTGGGTCAATCTTCGATACTCTTCTCTTTTCTTATATATCTGTTTGGAACCAGATCGATACTGAACAATAATCAAGAGGCATTCAATCTCGCCGAGGCATTATGAGTAGCTTTGCAAGACGCAATGAAGGAAATGAGGCTTATCTGATGAATCATCAAATGGCAGTGCCTGGCTATGGTCAGCCAGAGGGCCATGACTTCAAACAAGAAAGCCATGACTTCAACACACATGGATCGGGTTCATATCATTTCCCTCAGCATTCCTTCAATCCCTACGGGTCTCAATTCGGGCAGCCCTATGGCCCACAGTCGAGTCTGTCTCCGGGGTTGCAGCATTTGCAGTATACGTCGGAACATTCAATTCCATCGATGACAACGCCTGATGACCCTAGGTTACACCATCCGCCGCAGTTCATGTCCCAATCACGCTACTTTCAAGGGCCAAGATATCTCCCCCGCGACCCGCTGGGTGAAACGGAGATTGAAAATCAGGAGTCTCACAACGAGGCTACATTGCTATCAGAGGCTGTAGTGCCGGCCTTGAGCGGGTTCCCTGATGTGAAGGAATTTGATCAATTGATGCAGAAGTGAGTGGTTCATGATCAATCATGTGGAGTTGAGGCTAATTGGTCTCATCGTTCCAGTTACGTGGAGGACCTGTCCATCAAGAAGCAAGATAAAGCGCTGATCTATGCGAAAAGAGCCCGTAACATCAGAACTGTGTTGATTGACCCCAAAGATACGGCGGTGGAGTCAGCTCAATTTCGGTATGGATCTCTTGGATTCAATCAATGGCCTGCCTTGCTAAACAAATCAGGTTCTGGGTCAAAAAGATGTTCAAACTCCAAACGGTGGGCTCGGATGTATGTATCACTTGTCCCAACAGATACGATAAGCCAATGCTAATGGAGTCGTTGCGATATAAAGCATCGGAAGATGATCTGTCATGAGGGAAAGCCGGTTGCAATTCGAGAAAAATTGTTCAAAATCCTCACCAAGGCCCATCAACAGTGTCAACATGGTGGCCGAGACAAGACATCTGCTCAGGTCCGGCGGATCTATTCATGGTAGGCTAAGCCAAATCATGTCATGTATAATACATAGATGACATCTCCAATCTCCAGTCACTGACTATCTTCCTAGGGTGCCCAAGGAACTGATCTCCCGCTTTGTCAAGATCTGTCCAACCTGCCAGGTGCGCCGGGGGGGGGTCACGCTTGACACCACCCAATTCACGAAGAAGCTCCCCCAGGCTAGAGATGGTCTCGCGCTCCCCCAAACTCCCGTCGCCACCAATTTCGCGACGAGAATCAACCTTTGCTGGTCAAATGCCCCTTGACAGGACGCAAGCGGACTATTTTGGTCATCTACACGGTCACGGTGGCTGGCTCGATGGTCATCAAAATGTCCAACAAGGTCGCTCGAATCTAGGCAACGGAGTTCGGTCGTTCCATAGTCCCATGGGCAATCTTTCACACTCAATCGCTGGCACCTTGGATCCCTTCTCCACCGATCTATCCATCCCCCCGTCCCAGTTGAGTTATACAGCGGGATATGTACCGACACATGGGGCTGCGCCTCAGCGAGAGTTTTGATTGTCTTTTCTGGTTTGATTTGATGGGGGTACACTAATGGTGTGCTCCCCAAAAGTATACCTTTTGAGGAGGCTCTAGATCGGTTTATGCGTTCTTGTCATCCATCAGTCTGATGGGTGGCATACACGAACAGGGCCAGATGATTCTCATCCGTCATAGGGCTTTGAAGGTATAAAGAGGAAATATGGAACGCCAATAGTGAACTGAACAGGGAAGGAATTCCCCCCAAAAACACATTATGAAAAAAAAAAGAAAGACGAAACAGCCTAAAAATATTACTTGAATTTTTGATTGTTGAATATGGAACAATTGATCTGAGGTATACAATATAGGCTAGATATTTGGTATGTCTGCATGGTAGACCAGATGAAACCCAAAAGTACACAAGTTTCAACAGAAGAGGACTTCCCCTTCTCTGATCAGCACCATAGAACACAGCAGATATGCACATAGTCCATGATCATATTCGGTAATCAATTGCGGGTTTACCTGAGCCTCATGTGACCGTTCCTAAATGCATGAAAATTGGCGACTTGAAAACATTAATTCATAGCAACACCCAACGTCAAGGTTTTGAGTGGTGTTGCGCGGGTTCAAGGTACTTTGGTACTCGTGAGATAGATGATCACAGTGTTCTAGGCAAATATAGAAGAAACGAGTGGATCGGATTCAAAAGTCCATCTCGGAACCTTGCAAAGAACCAAGATATTAGACAGGGAGCGAGAACTTCTTCCCCTTCAAAACTCTGAGAGAGAAAAAAGAAAGGGCACAAAAGTCAGTGTCTTCGAGTCGGCAAAATACTTTTCAGCAGGTTGGGCTTACTTGTTGTAGTAAATGTAAAAGAAATCAGAGTAAAGCAACGTTTGGATGATTCCAGCGATAATAGTCACAGGCTGGAAGGAACGTTGGAAGGAAGCTTCGGTGAAATAGCGGAAGACCCAGTTCGGGATGTAGAGCGCCCTATAGAGTCCCAAGGCAAATAGATAGTGTGTAGTGATCGTGTCTGCCTCTCCGGTTCGTTGGAGCATGAAGAGTTGTGGTAATATGGCAACCGACTCTAACCAGATGGAAAAAGTCCAGAGTATCTACATGACGTTAGTCCGGATTCTCCCACCTCATAGACGGGATGTTCGACCAACCTCGGAGATGCGATAATCGCGCGGAAAGAGAATCGCGAGCAGCGCACTAATTCCGAGGAGGTATTGAACCTTGAAGGTATCGATGTTGGGATCATGTGTGGGTTTGTAGTCATTGAGCATGAGGTAGATGACGTAGGCCGAGGAACCGATAAACAGAAGCTTGAACGTGGTGAGGTACAGAGACTCGGTGAATGTCCAGAAAAGATCTAGAAGGCGAATGAGCGATTGGACTACATATGAACCCAACAGTGACGTCGAAACCTACCAAGATATCGAGTGACAAACACGAGAAGGTATAGAACCTGCGATTTGAATGACAATCCGGAACAACTCTGCGATCCATCATGAGTTACAGCTCATAGCTTTATGGACAGGAGAACATACACTTGACGTCTTCATCTTCCGCAGAAGCATGAAGATCGACGCCAGATGGGAGAAGTCGGCTGCAATTGAGCGTTAGTATATCGCGTTGGTTTTCCATTGGGTTTTGAGTCGTACCTAATAGCCTGAAGATATTCATGATGTCGGTGGCGAATTCTCAGTGTGAATTATACGAAGAAAGAGAGATTAGAGAGAAGGGGGAAGGAGAGTATTGGAAATTGGCGACCAAAACAGCTGAGTTGTTGACACGCAGGCAAAAAAAATGGAAGGGGAACGTTAAAATTACTTGCAGATCAGGTACATACACGGGTATGTACCATACACATACAGGGTACATACCAGTGACATACCTCGAACATATTATATCTACATTTGGCTATTTGAGTCTTCTATATTTTGCATTGGATTTCGGTATGTATATCAAATCTTATAGACATTACATCTATCAAATATTGGCCTAGTACCTCCGGGAGCCCATAAAGTCGTCAAGTCATCATATTGATACATGGGAAAATACAATCACTACCTAAACCTGGCCCAATACCCTGATACAACCAGATACATGACCAGAACGCCGAGAGCACTTGCCACTCCAGAACAAACACACTTGTGTGGCTAGAACAAATTTGCGCCCCCAATACTTTCATCGGCCATTCGCTGGAGATGGCCTTCAGCTAGCTCACTCTTCAGTGCGCAGATTGAGCTTTCGCGATCGAGTCGATCCCAGTCTCGAAGTTCCGCTCGTTTGGACCTCTGCGTGTCTGCGATCTGCTCAAGGAGTCTCTCTTTATCGACATCAAGCTGAAACAGCCGCTTCTCCACAGCAGGATCCAGAAGCGACGGAAGACTCCGACCTTCTGGTATGATGGTACATAGCCCCGTAAGGTGATTTGGACCCCTCTGGGCCAATGGTTGAGTTACAGGTGGAGCGGTGGATTGCCGGGAATTCGGATGTCGGTAACTGCCACCTGGTACAGGGGATGAAAAAGAAGCACGAGGACCTGCTGGTGGGGCCTGCGGTGTTGCAGCAGGTCCGCGGCGTACCGGCGGAGACCCCGTCCAATTTTCCCGTGGGCCAGGTCCGCGGCGAGGGCGAGTCGGCGCTGATAGTAAAGACACATGGGAAGGACCGCGATGTTGATTAGACGGCGGTCTCGGTCCTTGAGAAGGTCCTGACGGCGGCAGGGGAACTGGACTTGCGCTGTGGTTTTTCGGTTGAGTTGGGATTTTGCCACTAACCCTGGTTCCACTTGTTTGAGGTTCCAAATGTGCCTTCTCTGGAATCGAAAAAGGCGAATGATCGCCAACCGATACTCGCTCCTCATGGTCTGGTCGTTGCTGTGGGTGAGAAGGCTCCGTAGTGTAGAGCTGATCCCCGTAGGGAGATCTCCCTGACGGTTTCGACAAACGTTGGAAGGGTACCGGAGAGCGAATAGGCGACCGACTACGAGCTGTGCGGGAAACCACAATGGGTTTTTCTATAGCCGGCGACAAGCGTTGAGACATCTGTACGGGTTGTGAGACCAAGGGTTGTGCAGGTGAATCATGCCTTGGTGGCGACAAAGTACGATCTCGTTTCGCCCCATCACGAGGGTGGCCTCGATGTGAGGCATTGATTGGACTTTGTGGTAGTAAGACTTCTGCCTGTACTTTTGGCGAGGAAGCTCTGGGAGTTTTGTCAATATTCAAGGCATTAGGGCCGTCTCTCCTCGCTGATCGGAAACCCTGGCTGCTAGGAGTTGTATCACGTATTCGTCTTGGACTGTTGCGACCACGAGATGCGTTCCGTGATCTACCATCGCTGTAGGGTGATTTTGAGCACCATTTTTGCGGCGGTGATCTGACTCTTTCATCTCTTCTGGGCGAGAATCTTCTTGGTGGAGATCGTCTTCTTTCGTAGGGGGCTGGACCAAAGTTTCTGCCCGGGGGACTACGTGAACGGCGCCGGTATAATGGTGGTGACCGACTTCGTATGCGGCCGTACCCCCGATTTGATGACGGTACCCAAGTGTCGGCTCGTGGTCGAGGAGGACTTCGGGTTCGTGGTGGCGAACGTCGATGACGAATTTCATACCCGCGAGAAGGGGAACGACCGTTTCTCTCAGCTGGACGATAACTTTCTCCGCCTCTTCGTTCATCAAATCTAGGTAGATACTTAGAAACTTTCTTCCTTTTGAGCGTCTCGGTGTGTCTACAAACCTTCGGCGATCCCAGTCCATTCTGGCAATAAGAATAGTGATATTTGAGACAGTGGGATGATGTTCAAACGACTCTGGTCTATAGATAGAAGTCAGAGCACAGGAACACACAATTACCCAGTGCGACTTCTCCGTCTCCTGGTTGGGGGAGTGAAAATATGTCAAAGTCCAAGCAATTGAAGGGTCGAAATGTGGTAGATGAGAAGACTAAGCTAAACCCTTTTTGGAATCCATCCCTGTGATTGTGGATCTCGATGTGTAAACAACAAGAATCCAGTATATGCGGCGTGCAGACAAATCTACCTAGGGTACACCCGTTGGACTTCGATAAATTACTCAATAAGATTTTCATTTCAACCTAAACGTACATTACAGGTCAAAGACCTTTCTTGCAACCTAAAGTGTACACCAAAGCAGCCAAACTCCAATCCCCATCATGAAAGATGCACGCTCGAGGAACTCCAAAGAAGGAAGATAGGGGGGGAAATTGCAATGGAAAAAACATGTTTAATGTTTCCCTCGTCTCTCTTCTTCCTTTCGCAATCTTTTGCGGCTCTCCTGTGCGATCATGTCACTCAAGTCCTCCTGGAAACCCCAGTTCGGTGGATTTTGCTGCTGTCTCTGTGACTCGTACATGCTCTGGAGACTTTCTTTGCTGAGGCCATCGCCAGATTGGATTGCATCCAAGTTGACAGACACTTCAACATCACCAGGCTTCTTGCGTTTCCGGGTTTGGTCATCTGCACCTAGGACAGGAGGTCTGCCTGTTGATCCGCTGAGATCGTAGGCCCTATCACCCCCGAAAAAGCCTTCCACGTTCGTTTGCCTCTCGGGGATGACCTGGTAAGCACTCCGATGGTGCACAGATTCCTCTGTGTCGATACCGCGATGTTGCTTGCGCACATCAAACTCCCCAGAAACATTCTCAGCGCCGACAAATTCAGATGGTACTGCTGAATCTATTCCACTTGGGGTTTCCATGCCATTGGGGGAATGGGTACCTGCACCCACGCCTTCTTCGTCACTTTCTTCTTCCTGTTCATCATCGTCCTCTTCTGCTTCACTCTCCTGTTCTGACTCTTCCGACTCATGTAACTCTCCCCAAAGCTCTTTTTCAACCGGCTCTCCTTGCTGGGCATGTTGTTGAGGTTGTAGAACACCAAAGATATCACCTCCAAATAATGGGCGGTTGTGTTCATCAACAGGTGGCTTGCCATACCCTCCAGGATGGTAGCCCCACGACGCGCCGGGCGGAGGCGGCGCATTGAGGCCAGGGATTTTCAACGCGGGATAGGAAGACGGGGGACCATATCGCTGCTGATTGACGAGCCATGGGGGAGGGGCTCCTGGGGCCATACCAAGAGCGTCCTTTAATTCATCGCTCAATTCGCCAGGTCGGAGGTGCTTGAGATTGGTCTCGTATTCTTTGCCTTCATAGTAGATCTCACCGTAGCGGGTCAGCTCTGGCTTGGTTTGGAAACGGAAAAATGCCTCATAAAGCTTCTGGTAATCAATGTCCAGCTTGCCCATCTTTGGCTGCACTCTCTCCCTTTGCTTCTGTTTCAAACTTGACTGCTCTTGCTTCTCTAAAGCGGCGTCGCGCATTTCAGATATTCCCGTCTCTTGTATGAATTTAGGGAGAGCAAATGGCGCCTTCTCCACTCCACGTTTGGATGAGAGATACTCTCGTTTGAGCGACCAGTGAGAGGGCACAGGGACCACATTGCGATGAGCTTTAATGTGAACGAGAAGCCGAGGGTCAGGGGCGGATGTATCTGTCCATTCAACAATTTCAGGCTTTCGTACCATTGCTTTGAGTTCAGCAACGGATAGCTTGTTCATTTCTTTCCGCTTCTTTTTTGAAATCTTGGGCTCGCTGTCGTGCTCTTCGTCGGGTATTTCATCACCATCGTCGAAGAAAACCTCCGGTTTATCAGACTCCTTCGCTGATGAATTTTCGTTCAGTGACTCGTCAAATCTTCCAGCAACATCTTTGTACATTTCCCATAGCGGATCGGTCGGCTCAGGGAGCAGATCGGTGTCGGTACCAGCTGGTGCATCCTGAGAAGTAGTTGCTGGCAATGGTGATGGTTCGTGTGATACAGTATTGTCGATGGGAACGCTTGTATTCTTTACAGTGGTGTCAGCCTTGCATCAGGTATGGCTCAGCTATGGCTGAGAGACTTAGAGAGATATCTTGGCCTTACCGCGGCTTTATGGGCCTTTTTCTTTGCTCTTCTGAGCTGGTTCTTGCTCAATTTCATGGTTGCTGGAAGGTTTGGTAGGCGCTCAATCAAGGCGGTTTCAGTTAGGTGATATTGTAGAAATGCAGAGATATTTGACACAAACAGGCTAGTTCAAGTGCGTGGATCAGGTAGCGACAGACGATGGAGTGGGCGGACGAGGTTAAAAGCCGAATATATCAATTGTCATCACGTGCGTCCAGCTACAACAGTTTACCGCCTTATTTTGCCCTACCACATGTCACCTCCATCAGCAGGGCTTGGAAGCCTTCCGAAGGTACAGTGTTGTACAGATACATATGTATTTGGCCTAAGTCTTTTCTTACTGACCTCTTCGCTATGTCTCAGTAGACTAGTGGAATGAAAGACAAAAAAAGAAAGAATAATGATGTGTTATTGTACAAAATGTGAAACAAAATGAGGTGCGCCCAATGGTGAAGACTACTAGCGAGGATAACAAATAGAATCTGGAGGTAATTTGCACCTGAAGCAAAACGTTCAAGCGGCTTCACAAAGCATAATTCACTGATCCAGTCAAGATCATAGGGGAGATAATCCGGGTATAGGATATACACTGGTGTTGGTGTGAGTGGTGCAATGTTCAGCTCGGCAAAGCCCAGAAGATAAGACAGACAGTCTATTTCTTCTTCTTTGCGGACCTCGATTCTGTTCAAGTCTTAGATTTTGATTCCAGTATGAACTCATTGGGTGTAGGGGGAATTACCTGCAGCAGTTCGTTTCTTTTTCGGCCGACCCTTCCCTCGCAACTTGGCACTGTGGTTGAGATGTTTAGTAAAAACTCGTTTTAATATTATGTGGATAACATTTCATACATCTGAATAGCTTCTTCCCTATCATCTTCAGCTTCATCGAATGTTGTCAATCCAAGAGGTTTATAAGTATTTTGTAAATCCTGGAAAGACACAGTCTTCTTTGGATACCAGGCTGCAAGCGCCGGCCCACGTAGGCGCTGTCTCAAGACCTTGTTCCCCAGTCGAAGCCGTTCTGGGTTGAAATTAAGGGAGAATATGCGGCATTGCGTCTAGAGAATTGCGAATTAGTGAGTGCAAGCATAGTACAATGGAAAGTGTAATTGAACCTTCACTAGATCCAAGATCCGACTTGACGCCATTTTCCTTTCTCAGAGGTTCAAAATAACCATGTGCAGAAATAAAATTGCGAAACAGCTGTTCACATCAGCTCGGTAGACAAATGTTATCGAACTCGGAGAGATACCAACTGAAGTTTGCCGATAATCATGTGACCTTCCGAAGTATACCGCCTACAAATCATCCATGTGTTTTACCTCAGATGAGAAGCAAAAAAGAAATACAAAACCATACAAAACCATACAAAAGAGCGCAACAGCAAAACTGGGCCGAGACTGAGCAGGGCGTACAACAATTGACATGCCTCGAGGCAATGAGATAGCAGATCCAGCAAGCTTAAAAGCGCCAGTGGTAGATCTGAAAAGACCGTCATCTGTCTTTGGATCAGATGCCACACATGAATCACAAAAGCGGCTCAAGGTGAATATCATATTCCCATCCCACTGAGTGAATCTCAGTTCCAATAACTTGCTGACATCTACTCGCATAAAGGTTCAGAAATCAAGCCCGCCATCAGACACCAAGTTTTCTGTTGGTGTCAGTCACGGCATGGCCAAGTCCAGCAACAGTTCTCCTCTTCTTCTTCTACAACACCTTGTTAGAGAGATTACTACCGGTTCTGATCTCGCTGGTGTGGACTCGGAGGTTGTGGACGCGATTTTGAGGCTGGATGACACATTTCTTGGGACGAAGAGCCAATTGCCTTCCAAAGATTCTTCCATTGCTGGTGAGGTCCAAAAATCACACCCAGGTCACAGTTCCAAGTTGGTCAGTGGATCTTGTGACCCTAGGCTACCCCCGATCATTGATGACAAGCTGGAACTAGCTGTCTTTACCCATCCAGCTCTTAGCAACGATAACAACGCGACCTACGACCGACTCGAGATTCTAGGCGATGCATACATTGAGCTGATTGCAACCAAACTCGTCTGGGAGAGATTTCCAGATTTACCAGCAGGTCGAATATCACAGATTCGGGAGATTCTTGTCAAGAACGAGACACTTTCGGGCTTCGCAGAGAGATTTGGTTTGGACCGCAGGGTTTCTGTACCACTTAACTACAATACCCCGTCAAAGCGATGGACCAAAACAAAGGGCGATGTCTTTGAAGCCTACGTCGCGGCAGTCATACTCTCCGATCCCGTTCGTGGTTATGAAGTAGCCGAGCATTGGCTAGCAGGTCTATGGGTGCCCATTCTCAAGAACCTAGGGCACCAGAAAGGGGAGTTACGCTGCAAGGAGGCTCTTGCTAAAAAGATTATGGGGAAAAAAGTCAAGCTTGAATACCTCGAGGAGCGTCCGTCAATTCAACAGAAGGGTGGCACACAGACTTTCTTCGTCGCGTTATATCTCACAGGGTGGGGATGGAATAAAAGATTTCTGGGTTCCGGTCAGGGTTTGAGTAAAGCTGCTGCAGGTGACGAGGCAGCGAAAAAGACATTACTGAATACGCCCCTAATTCTTGAGATCATGTCGGCAAAGGAATCATGGGAGTCTAACTCTTAAAGGTCTTGCATGCCTCTCGCGAGTTGTCGGGCCAGTCTCCTCTAGACATTACATCTCCCACTAAAGAGGGCCACCAGATTAATCCATCCATGCACATTTACCTACACAGTACATTGATAGGTCCATGATGTTCGAATATTTGCACCCCATCTGAATATTACTA